GTTGACGTCCGCAGGTAGAGTACTGATGTTTGAGGTAAAACTCAGTGGATTCGACTTTAAATACACCATTCGCGCACCATCTTCAGAGTCACTTTCATCATCTGATGATGGTTTTAACCCTACAACTAGCCACAAGTCTTTAACATGACGAGGCATGCCATCGACCCGCACTGACTGCGGGCTGATAATCTTGGTAACATGCCCCATTCTAAGCTTGTCCGTACACTTGCTGTGCGGGGTCTTAACCCACACTACGTCACCAATTCTGTATTTTGCTTGCGCGGCGCTCGAAGCCATTGCGATGTCAATGCCTCGCAGCCGTAAGTGATAGGCGTGCATCATGTTAGCGGGTGCTGTTGTAGGTGAAACACCGTCTTTAGGCATTGCATTATACCAATAGACTGCTTTGGGGATCGAACATTGCTTCCTGGCTGCAATCACTTTTATAGATCGGTGGCTCCTTTGTAATATGCCGTTTCTCACCGGCACGGAAGCCGCACACCTCACTTCTTAAGAACTGCGAGAATTGCTCTGAAGAAAACGCTGCACCATTATCTGTCAGTATTTCTGCAGGTGGCCACCTGTCCTAAAAGACGGACTCCAATTGACGTATTATGCTGGCAGTAGTCGCCAAATGGCAAAGCGAGAGGGTCCACAGTCAATAATAGTCAAATAGTGCTGGCTGCCAACATGCGTAACATCTATCCCCAGCCTGTTCCAAACATGGGTAGTACTCAAATTTCCTTTTTGTCATTGCATCGGTGCCAGGTCAATTGACTGGCACACCCCATACCTCTGCACTACTGTCCTAACATCTGCGGGGTCGACCATCTTTGAGAAGTAGTGTCCGTTTAATCCCGGGATGCCCACACTGTTCATGTATGCTCATGATCCGCTTGAGGTCCATACTGAGCGCAGAAGCCGTACACCGCAGCTGCAGAAGTTCAGACTCTTTCCGAGCAGCAGTCAACCAACGTTGCGGAACACAAGTCAATGCATCTGCTCTGTTGACTGCTGATTTAACAAACATTACATCCACAGGCAGGTTGTACTCTTTGATAGTTTCAATCAGCATGGCGAGCTGCCTTTGTATCAACATCTCGCTCGATGCCTTGGTGGTCAGTCGCGCTCTTCCACTAAGTGCATCTGATATCCAACGCTGAATGCATGCTGAGTCCGTGACGATGTGTAGCACTGTTGCTTGCCATTGGAGCGCCAGGTTAACCCCCTTCAGAGTGGTGTCTAGTTCGTCCAGGTTTATGTGTCGTGCATCATTTTCAGGTCGTAACCAGCAGGCGTCTTCTATGATGGACCCATTATCCTCAAGGGTGACACCCGTGGCCAACGAGCTGGCATCCACCCAAACGGTGAGCTCGTTCCCCTTAACGCACCAGTCACCTCGCACTGGATTGTCTTGCATCACTCTCTCCATAGTTTCAGTTATCATGCATCTTGGGGTAACGTCGTGCACCTCGTCGTCCCATCCAGACGAAACAGAACTTACGTGGCGCTTTATGGCTGCTGCCGCCACTCTGAGCCAACCGCATATGGGAAAATAGCCTACCAGTTTTCCACACATGGAGAAGGTACTCCGACGAGTGATCACTGGCGGGACTTCCGGGATGTCACTACCTTGCCTCCAGCAAAATTTTTCTCCATCATTACTGATGTGCAGTCCAAGTACATTCACTCTGTCCTGTAGCGGCTCTGGGGCCTTGCACACCAAGCCAAAATGCTCCAGATGTTCCCTAACCCTCATTGAAGAGGCCACGTTTTCATTGACGTAAACATCGTCAATGTAGGATGACGTTGCCCTTTGAATTTCCTCATCCTGCAACATGACCACATTCATAATTGCTGGCATGATTTTTGGCACCACATTAAGACCAAATCCCAATCGAGTGAAGCAATATCTCTGTCCTTTTACCATGACAGTCTGAAAGGGGCAAATAGAACTTGGAGGTAGGCCCTTAAATCGAGGGTGGCCACGTTGCTCCCTTGCTGTCGCCATTCCTGCAATTTCTGGGCACAAATGTCCGCGTTGGCCGTATATGCATCTACAAAGATATTCAATTCCCTGTAGTCCATGACCGGTCTCACTTTCTTCTTATTCTCTTGCACTATTGCCATCAACGGAATCAGTCCTCGAGGCGGCCATAGCTCCTCCTCGGGGTACAGCACAATTCATTTTCATATTCGCTCCTGATATGCTCTGGAACCGGGTACTCTATTTTATTTTTCAGTTGCGTGGGCGTTCATCCACCCGCCCACTTCCACATTGCGGTCCATACGCGCCTGCGCTGGTCGAAAGTTGCACTGAAATCAGGTTCGTTAATCCTCAAAGCAGCACAGATGGGTGGATCAGAAAACTTGACTTCACCCTCCTCTGTGATGCGTACGCTGACCAGCTCCTTAATAATGTCCATCCCAAGGAGCAGATCAAAACCTAGTAACGTGCTGTCCATGACCAACACGCTGACTGTGATGAGGTTACCGTTGTTGATAGTGAGTTTGATGTTTCCAACTCCCCGGCTTCTGAGAGCTTTGGCATCAGCCATTAGTACGTCCATCTTTTGTCTGCTCCACTGTCGACAAATCAAAACGTTTGTGAGTGACCGAGAGCAGACCGAATCTACTAAAGCGGTACGCGTTATTCCATTGATGTGCACCTTAATCACAGGGAGCGCCTCCTCTTTCATGCTCGGTGCGGAGAAGAGACCGGCTGACGTTGCATCCCCCATACCATTTCCCAGACACTTAGAGACAATGTGACCTACTTTATGACATTGGAAACATCGTAGATCGAAACGTACCTTTTGTGCGACCCGCTGCACATTTCTTTGCCTTGACAGTGGCAGTCTTTGGCAAAATGGTTCAGCCCAGAGCACTGATAGCAGGTGACATCGCCATGTCGACGGATGGCTGGGGTCGGATCCTCTTTGACTTCAATTGGCTGAACGACTGTGGCCACTGGTTCATCAGCCTCTTTTTCGTCGATCATGATAGCACGGGCTCTGGTCAACACTTGATTGAGCGTCATGTCTTCCATTCTGGATGATGTGCTGAGTATCTGCTTAACATGACTAGGCAATTCAGACATGAAGGCACAGGTCATCCATTCTTCAGGAAGTGGTGCGATTGGTATGGCGAGCTTCTTTAATTCCACCACATATACATCTACTGTCTCGCCAGGTCGCAGACGCCGCACATGGAATTGGTCATAGGCCATGAACTGGTCAGTTCCAAACGCGGTTAGTAGAGCACGCTTTATTTGCTCAATGTCACTTTTCTGTTCTTTGCTCAGCTGCCTATACACAGCAAGGGCGCCGCCTTTCAAGCGCAGTGGAAGAATCCGTTCAATCTTCGTGATCTTGCATAATTTGCAGACCAGTTCCACCTTTTCGATCCATTCAACCACAAACTGTCCACTCGTATCACCACTGAATTCAGAGATCAGTTTTATGTTGAACGGTTTTTCCGCCATCTTGCTAGAGACAAAGTTAATGCCGAAATAGCTTGTGTTGGAATGTGTCATGAAAAAATAAATGATTTCGTCTCTTTCTCTCCTGCTGTCGTAGCGACGGACACAGTCTCCACTTCTGAGACTGAAAACTGCCCTCCTTCTCATTCCAGCCCTTTACATAGAGCTTGGTAACTCACCTATGCAAAACACCAACAAACCAGCTACCATCACAGTTCCTGCGCCTGCTCACCTCCACTTGCTTTGGGGGTGTCAAGTTGACCAACCAACTCATTACAAGAAGAAACCTATTGCAGGCGTTTATTGCTACTATAAGTTTACAGTTTTTTTTTTTCTTTACAACACTAGGCTTACCAGAATTTCTAAGTTTTAACCCAGGTTTCTCTTTCTCTCTCTCTCTCTGCATATGTTTAGCCTAATTGTTGATAATATTTTTTTTTTTTTTTAACATTATTAGGGATTCTTAGTAAAATATATATATATGACATGGTTTTTTTTATTTGGTACATTTTTCATAATATATGAATTAATGCAATGTGATTTGTGGCTATAATCTAGAAACCTAATATAAAGTATGCTTTTATAATTTCAAGTTAGGATCTCTTAATTCTATCGTAATAATTATCTGCTACAAATATTTGTTTTTCTCTAATTATAGCTTACTGGGTTTCAGGATATAAAAATATTCTAGAGCATGTGTTGCTAATTTTTTTACTACTGGTTTTTATATTTTTGTGTATATGAATGTTTATTTCAGTGTTTTCATTGTATATTTGTGTGCAATTGTTTTTACTTTTTTTTTTCACTACTTTCTATTTTATTCACTGGAAGCAAACTGGATTTATGGATTTGCTTTACTCTTGTCCTTTAATAAATGCTGATGCCCAATTTTCTCTTGATTTTTTTTTTTTTTTTTTTTTTTTTTTATATTGGATCAGCAATTGGTACAGCATATGCTTTTCTATATAGTGTACAGTGCAATTAGTTGACCATACATACTTGTATACTATATTATAGCATCTGCTGTCACTGCCATAACTCATTGATCCTGATGTCTTCTTCCATCAAAATTAGAACTTTCTCAGATTTTATCACTATTTTTAAATTCCCTGTACAATAGTTTGTCTTATATTGTTCAAATTTACTTTAATTCTATTATTAACTTTTCTATTTTTTTGTCATACAATGTTTTGACAACTAAATCAATTAGAAGAAGTAAAGTCTGAAAGTGATCAACCAATGAACTCATTTTTACTTAAACATTAAATAAACTTATTTGTGGCTGGTGAATCTATTTAAGGCTGTCAGGGTTTTTCCCTTTTTTTGGATAATTAGTATGTGTAATTTATACAAAGATTACAATAGAAGCAGATTAATATGGGAAAATTGATCTTTTATGAACCCCAAAATATGAGCTTGATGCTTATTTGGAGACAGTTGCAGGGGAATTCTGTTTTAAGAATGCAAAAATCTGTTGTCATTTTGAGTACTTTCTATTAAATCTTTATTGCAATTGTAGATGATACAGCTCCTCTGGAAGATATGTCTGACCTTCTTCATCAAGTAGAAGCTCTGTGTGAAATTCGTGGCCAGCAACCACAGTCAGTGAATAACAACAATAGTAATACTAATGTGCGCCTTCCCACCAATGTGACGGGGACTGGGACTGCTACTCTAAATAATGCAAGTGCTAAACAGAACAATGTTACAAGAGAGGCACAAGCTCAAGTAAGTTTTCATATCAATTTGTTTTAATGCAAATTTCTGTTGACTTTAATAGCCATCCCTATTTCTTCAGGTGACTCTGTGATGGATATTAAATGATATATTGAAAAATAGTTTTTATTTTTTAAAGTATATTTCATGCCTATCTGATTTCTTTATTATTGAATGAACTTTATAATTTAAATACAATTTGTTTCATTCCATTATCATCTCCATGAATTTGAAATATAAATATTTACTGTAATTACCATGTTTAAATCATTATCATTACTATTATTATTATTATTATTATTCACTTAAAAATCTGAATCATTTAAATTTTATTGACCCAATATTTCATGTGTATAACAGTGTTATCAAGCCAGATACAACTTAATGTACACGATATTATCCAAAGGTCTAGGGAATTTGACAGTAAAAATACTTCTATAGTTTTAGCCTCTCTCTCATAAATGGTAGCAGCAAAAGCTATTTTGTATTATGGTTTGCACATGACTTCTGAATAGCCCCTTCTAAAATCAATTATTGAGGCATTAAACCTTTGCTATTATCACTTCCAACTTTTATATACAAATGCCTGTATTGACTCTCAATGCATCAACATACCCATTTAAGTTTTGATAGTTCTCTCATAGGATAGACCTTTTTGTTTTCATGCACTATAGTCAAACATTTAGATGGAGTGCGTCTATCCATGCAATTCACAGTTAAACTCTTCCCTGACCTGTTAAGATTTGGGATATTTTAACAACTGTTCTATAGTCTTTCTTGACGATGAACCATCCAACCACTTTCATGATGCAATCTTTTTGCTTTAGTTGAATTCTGTACCAACATTTGGCTGATTGATATCAATGGCTGTACATCTTTGAGAAAATATGTTGCTCAACAGTTATTTGCATATCGCTTAGCTCCTTCATTGCATTGAGTTCACACAGAAGGTCAAACACCAACAAATTTCCATTCACAACTAAAACTTTAACATGAGTGGGATTCATATTGCATCCAACAAGTTTAACATTCTATGATTCCACAATACTTAATCTCATCAACCATCAGTACATCCATCTCTTTCTTTGGCCAAAAGCAACTAACTGATGTGCTCATGAATGATTGAGAACAACCTGAATCATCTAAGGTTGCATTCATGATTCCATTGACATACATTCCAACTATGGGTAGCGCCTCATTCATATTTTGTTTCATTTTTTTTTTTTTTGGTGCATCAGAAGTGTTTTTCTAATTTACATGGTGCTTGTGCACAACTTCTACATTAATACAAACAGTTTCTTGCAAATTGATTGGAGTCAGAGCATTTGTAGCAGGTGATGTTTTCATGCTGATTGCTAGTAGAGAGTGTTTGACTTTCTTTATCCTGCACAGATTGCACAAATTCAATCCTAATCCATTTGATTACAAATTGACTGGTTGCTGAGCTGAATTGTTTTCTCTACCATTCTTTATGTTGCTGAAATAGCTTGTTGTAAGGAGGGAAAAACAAAATCACTCACAGCTATCCTTCCAGCTTTAAGCCTTATATCTCTCACTGTCAGACTTCTTAATTCTGTCAATGTAGTCTGACTGATACTTTTTCACTCAGTTTAGCATTCTCTTTTTAACTGAAGGGCACTGAATATTCGATATACGCCTCACTTAAAAGTGGCACTTCCTTCCCTGGAGAGTGTTGTGTGTGTCTTATGATTGCTAAACCATGCACAGCCAACTCTGTCTCTCTTTTAAAACTGGCCAGTAAGTCTTTGGTTTCCCTTATTCTGTTACGGTCATACCCATTGTTTCCACCACAGAAGATACATGTATTATATTCTATTATTTCTTTGCTTTTTCTAGGTCCAGATATCTACCAGTAATATAGCAGGAGCCTGTGCTGCTATCCCTCCTACTTCTGCTGCTCACTCAGCTTACAATAACATCTCATCAGTGTCTGCTTGCAGTTCATCTCAACAACAGTCAAAAGATAACAGAGTAGCATTTTGTGGTATCAAGAAAGGCTTCCTTGAAAACATGACTAATAATCCTAGAGATGCAAGCAACAAAGATAAACGAACAAATGAAACTAAAAACTTAAGTGAATGTAATCAGATTGGCAGTAAGAAGACTTACAATAAAGATATGCCATTCATCAAACCAAAGAATACAGATGGGCGAAGTGCTAGCTTTGAGTTACATGAGGAGCTTGAAAACATTAGAGAGAAACAGACATTATTTAACAATACAGGTACTTTGTTACTTTGCATATATGCATTCTGATTAATTTACTTGTGGAAAAATAACAAAATATGAATCATTTTCTAATAAAACCATTCCCCACTTAAGTACAATTTATAAAATAATCTGAAATTTAATATTTTTAATAAAACCTCATTCTCAATAGTGATTACTTTAAAAACTTGAAAAAGATTGATTTTTCTTAATATCAGTATTGTGAATATGAAATGAAGAATACATATGAAGAATATATCTTGGAATACATTCTTTTTTATGCTAATAAACTTTATGAACCAGTCAGTGTACCAGTGCTACCAAAGATGTAATATTTTGGGCCTTCATGTGTGGACATGACGGGAGGTAACCAGATTTTACAGGAATTTTTGCCTATTGATAAGTTTTGTCATTGTGTACCTGCTGAGAATTCAGTTGTGATTCCCCAACAAGTCATGGTAACTTCTTTGTCTCTGAAAGCTAATTCCACAGAACAAACCACAAACTCTGCTGATAACTAACAACAGGTTTAATGAAAAATAGAAAAAATTAAAAATGCATAAAAGATTAACCTTTCTACATAGCTTTGTTTGATAACTTTTTGGTAGGCAAGTTCCCCATCAGTAATTTGTTGAGTTATAAGGCACTTTGATTCTCGCACTGTATTTTTATCTATTAGGGGTTGTTTTGTGTGTTTGGTGGTAGGTCAGTGTGATTGTGTGACAAATTAAAAAAAATAGCGGTTTTTCTTTTCAGGTTGATGAGGCAACAGATCTTACCAATAAATGTCATGTTGTGGCTTTTGTAAGATTTTCAAAAATCGCCATATTGGGTGATTAGGTACTTCTGTAAAAATGAAGAAAAAACAAAGAAATAAGTAACTTTAAGTACAGGTCCCGTTTGCTGAGTGGGCACTGACTAGTGAAAGTGGTTTCACACTGGCGCTGTACAGACATCACTAAATATATTCGCAATGATTGTTATATTTTTTAATAACATAATAGGTTACATAAGATTATGTCTGTTAAAATAACCAAGAATATATTGTGTGTGTTTAGTAATATTATGTATATAAAATTAAATAAAAAGTCAAAATGGCATTAGCTTATCTCATCTATTCTTGCGAAACACTTGAGGACCTTTTGTGGAACCTTAGGGTTCCAGGGAACCCCAGTTGTGAAATGCTGGACTAGAGCAATGTCCTAATAAAACTAGACCCTTTCATCAGCTTTCCTAGGTGTTTGGTCTTGATTGCTTTTCATAAATGCCTCAGCAAGTTGGTGTAGTACTATTCATTAGTGGTGTGGTCCTTTTTGAAGATTGTCAATAAGCACAATGCCTTTTGCATCCAAAAAAATGAGGCCTTCATTTTCCCTGCAAATGAAACGACATTGGACTTCTTTGGAGCAGATGAGAGAGGTGTTTATAGTGCCTGGGTTGTCTCTTTGTCTCTGGCTCAAAGTGAGAAACCAAACACTCATTCTTGGTTAGGAAATATTCAAGGGAAACAGCTGTATCTGCTTCCAGCAGTGTCAGATTTTCCTGTGATGTGATCAGGCTAGTGTGCTTTTGTTCAGGTGTCAAAATGTTGCACCTACTGAGCAGAAACCTTTGTCAAGTTCAATGTGCATAATATTCTCAACTCTCTCATGGGATCTGCTATTAGCATTGGCTATTTGATTTATACTCAATCGCCTCTCATCCATCTCCATGTGGTGAACATGATCATTATTTTCCTTGGTGGTCACTGTTGCAGGACATCCAGACCTTGTGTTATCTTCAGCATTATTTCTTCCTCTCTTAATTTCAGCTGCCCACTTTTGTGCTGTTGATAAATTTGGACTGTCATCCCCTAATGTAGAAACAATGTCAGCAAGAATGGCCTTGGGAGCTAAACCGTTACTTGATGACATCATGGTGCCAAATTTTGTCCATTTTCAAGAAAAGTCACTATTAGTTAATTTTGAAGTCTTTGAACAGTCAGATATCAGTTTGCTTGGAAATAATGGAGTTATTAATAAGAGGAGTTAAAATTAAAGTATGCAAAATTTCACAGTTCTAGCATCAGTCCTTCTTAGCCTATGAACTTTTTACCCCACCCTCATACTTTGAAATTTCAGAAGACACATTATTCTGTTATATTGCTCTGGACATGATTGGTGGGTTGGGTTAATGAATTTTACTTGGCTTATTTCAAGTTTGTTTCTTCTTAGAGCTTTCTTTGAATTCATTTTAAGGCTTTTAATTATTTTTAATCCGTTCTTTTTTTTTTTATTCTTGACACTTGACAGTTTTCCTGAATTTTTCCCACTGTTTAATGTTGATTATTTCCTGTTCCAAATCATCAGTAAGAATTCTCATGCAATAAAAATTGTTTAACCATGGTTACCACCCTGTTATATATTATTATATACTCTACATAATGAATTGGGATAGATTTGGCTTGTGAAGTTCAGAGGTTCTTTATTTCCATTTATTTAAAATTTTTAACCAGTAGATAAGCAGCTAGGCCTTTGGAAATTGTTTTTCATTTCACACTGTCATGCCTAAAATTTCAAAGCTAAGCTTGATTTTCAGATTTTGTAACTCTCACTTATTTAACTTGTCACCTGTTGGGGATCCACTGTGTTAACAATTTGGTCTTTATTTTAATTTTGAACATCATTCAGTTTGTGTTTATGGCAAGGTACGTATTTGATTTTTATTCAAATCACTTTCATTAATTTTTTTTTACCTTACTTAATATTTAATTTATTTTTTCTATTAATGTTGTTTTGAGGATAACATTAAAATCAACCTGTATATTGATTAATGTACAAGTGTATCATAGAATTTCTTTTGTTCTTAAGTTATAAAATTGTCACCTGGAAAATAACTTCTAGTTCTAGTATTATTAAAATGTCTCTAGATAGGACTACAATGTAAAAAATATTTTTATAATATGAAGAATAGGCTTAAATATTTTGGTTGTCAGCTTTTGGTGTTTTTTAACTTTTAGTCAAGGAAGTCACAAATTTGTCATATGATTATTTCTGTTATTTTAAAATGGATCCAATTTCTTGGAGTGATCATCACCTTAGGCAAAATAAGGTTGAATTTTATTTTAAATATAAAATTTTCAAAATATAGACAGTGAAGAAATGTTAATTAAATATTAAGGACACATTTATGCACTTATCTAGATTTCATCTTGATTGATCAGATTTAATTTTCCAAAACGCACACACACTCACACACTCACATAAATATATTCAAATTTAAATGATTTGATGAATATATTCACATTTTGATGATTTGGTCTTGCTTTCTTTTAATTACAATTTTATAAATTTACCTATTGAAATTATTACTACTATAGTTTTAATATTGAACCTCAGTAAAAATGTATTGAATATCTGCAAGTAATAGTGAGGTTAGCTGGCATTCAGTGACCAAACACTATTACAGTTTTTCAAGAAAATAGGCTTCTCATGTCCGCTAACTGTTATTTCTATTTCTAGCATTAATGGGAGTTTCCTTCCTAACCATTTCTTTGAAGTAGTGTGAAAAAAATAGACATCTTGATTATATTTAGGTTTGCTTAAAAGACCAAGAAGCCATTTGTAATCATTGATCTGAAAAAATGGTTGTATAATATAGGTGAGAGTTTAGACATTTTTTAATGAATTTGATGTTATACATGGCATCCATATGGAAGCTTAGATTTGATGAAGCTACTTAAGAACATGACTGGAGATTTTAGGTTAATGTTTTGCTTTTCTAACATCTTATGGCATTAGACAAAACTACTACTAGCGTAGCTTATCGTAGCTTCAATTTCCTTATCTTTGGTATTAAATTTGTCCTTACTAATTCTTACATCATGGTATTTGAAGTGTTTAGAGTTTATTAATTTTACATTCTGAATTTGTATGATAGGTTATGGGTATACATGGTTAGTAGTTTCATTCCAATTCCAGATCATAGTTTCTGTTTTGGAAAGGTTTATTGTAAGGCCTGCTTTTTTTGAACATTTGGTGAAGAATGTTTTTTTTTTCTCCCTTTTTTTTTTTTCAATAATAATAATTACATCAGTTACAGAATTTTGGAAAAATTCTATGTGATATTTCATCCTTCAAAAAGACTTCACAAATTTTTGTTGGATGAAACATGTCACATAGGATGAAAACTTTTTCAATTACTCATCGTTTATCTGATATATAGAGTTCATATATATTCCCTCATAAATGAGTGAGTAATACTGTGTGAACTTTGTGCATTAGTTGCTAGGCATTTTCTGGAAATTGGAAAGTACAAAGGAATGAGTGTTATCTGATCTCTTACTGTTCTTGTTATAGCGTAATTTTCTGTAAGAAATCATATTACATTTAATGCTCAATAGCAGAAATTATTGTATTGATATATTGCATAATATACATTTCATTATCTTCATTCTATAAATTAGAACATTGTGAATGATAACAATTCATATGAAATTGTATATTTAGTAAATATTATAGTAATATATATTTTTCTTGTTAGATTGGGTAACAGAAAACTTATTGCAACGTATACAAAGTAACCCAAATCTGTCCGGGCGACTATCAGATCCTCAATTTATTCAAGCACTTACAGAGTTTCAGCAGAACCCACAAGCTGCAATAGCCAAATATCAAGATGATCAACAACTGCAAGGAGCTATGCAACAATTTTGTAACATTTTAGGTGAGTATTAACTTTATTTTATTCTAATTGTTCTAATTGTTACAGGGGATAATTCCTGCTTGATTTGTGTAGATGTGAAACTATTAGCAGTTTATCAATAAAATCAAAAGTTCTTCATCTTTTGATATGATAGGATTAATCTAGTGATTTTTTTTTTTCTATTTGTAAAGTTTTATAAATGATTAACCAAATAAGTGAACTTTTAAAACATACATAAGCTGGTCTTTTAATTATTTCTGGCATTCATTATATATTACTTTTTTAAGCTTTTATTATTCTTATAAAAAATTTTTTATAATTAAGGTGTTGGACATTTCTAGTAAAAGTTATTGTGATATTTTTAAATTTAATCTGTTACTCTGTAAAGTATCTAATAAATTTCAATATAAACTTTTTGGTATTATTTTCCTTAATTTATCATAGAAAATGCAGTAATACTAAAATTAGAACTGAAAGAATTTAATTTGTAGTCTTAATTGTGTTGAAGGATTATGATAGTTGATTCCAGGCAATTTTTCAAGGGCAATGGAGATGTATTAAAAATTCTTCAAGCTTGAATATTTTTTCTTAAGCTTAGTATGCATTCTGTTCAGCATTTCTGCCTATTCTTTTTCATAAGCCTTGCAGCTAGATAACTATTTTTTTCTTGTATATTATGGGCAATTTTAAATAAATTCTCTAAAATAATGTGCTAACTTATAATTTAAGAAATCCTTTATTTTCATGAGCTGATGCACATAATAAAATATATTTTGTATATATGCTATTATTTTATTAATATATTATAGAAATCATTTTTGTTATTGATTTAGGGTAGCTGGCCTTCATCAATTGGCACATTTTTTTTCTTAATGTTTTTTTTTTTTTTTAAATAATTTGTTAATCTTTAGAACTCCTATTGCCACTTACATTTTTGGAGAAATACATAATCAGTAATAAAAGCATCAGATGAAAACAGGTGAAAATTCAATATCTCTGAGACACTGAAATTTAAGCAATTTTTTGTGGCATATAAAATAAAAATAAAAAAAAAAAAAAATTCCAATTAGTTTTAAGAAAATTATTTTTCTGACTGAAATACTTTTTTTTTCTGGTTTAAAATTATTGACATAAATACTACTGTGGCCCTGTCGGCGGGGCTTCAGAATACGTCGACTGCACCCCTGCAAAGGGTAAAAGTCCCTTAACGGGGCCACCTGTTGGCTGTGGGTGGTGACCTGTGATGACTGGGGATGGAATCCTGTGATGCCTGGGGATGGAATCCTGGTGGTTGAGCAGGTCGTGACCCAGGAGAAAATTTGTCATGGCCCCTGCAACACACCACGTTGGCCTTTACCTAGACTAGACGGGAGGTTGGAGAGGCTTGATCTGACCAATCGGCTAGTCGCATCAAGCCCTAACACCTATCCTCACAAAATAAATATCTTTCAAACTCTTATTACAAAACAACGTGATATTCCCTAAATAAGTGTCAGAAGGCGGTGGCAAGGGTCAATCAAGTAGTACGTAAAAATCAGCCACATGAAGGAGTAAATAAAAGTTTTTATAAAAACGGGTAAGAAAACTAAAACACTGGAAATGCTGGCAAAAATACTACTAATATGAGTATACCACTTTTGTATTCCTGAGAAAATAGGGCGAATGGGCTTCCCCTCTAATATCTCCCATTGCCAAACTCCGAGGAGGGTGGGGAGCAAAAGAGATGAAAATAAAAACAAGCCCACATGGCAACAAAAAGACCCCATATCGAATCAAACTCAGACAACGAGTCAGAGCATGAACTAACACATCATCAATTCATAGTATTAGGATCTATTGAAAATACTCCTCTTACCACAATATACTCCCTTTAAAATAGAGAAAATCATCTCAACCAACATCCAAAAAACAGAATCTGTGAAAAAAAATGAAGAATGGAACAATACTAATTGAAGTATCCAAAAATACACACGCAAAAAAAATATTAAACTGGACAACCTTCGACAAGATAAAAATCCAAACATACCTACATGAAACCCTAAATTCATCCAAAGGAGTAGTGAGAAGCCATGAAATCTCACCATGCACCCTGGAAAAGATTAAAAAAAAACCCCAAAATCCCAAAAAACCTAAAAAACCAACAACTAAAAGATGTCAAAAGAATAACTATTAAAAAATGGTACATTTATTAAAACCAACATGTATATATTAACCTTTAACTACCCTGTAATACCCAGGGACATAACAATTGGATATTCAATAGCAAAAGTGGAGACTTACATACCAATGCCACTTAGGTGTTACCGATGCCAAAGATACGGACACCACAAAGAAACTTGTGCTAGAGATCCCTGTGTGTAGAAGATGTGGAAATACAGTGACTGAACATCCAGCAAATTGCAGTGAAAGACCTAGGTGTCCAAACTGCAAAGAGGAGCACAACTGCAGGCTCAAGAGAATGTAAAGTATGGCAGAAAGAAAAGGAAATCAACAAAACAAAATATTCATGAAATATCTCTTTTTCGAAGCAAGAAAAATTGTTGAAACGCAGACACTCACAATAATATATGCCTCTCTATGCTGACCTCAGAAAATAAACATCCTGAATATCCCAAAAAAAGAAACAGAAAAAACTAACTACAAATCTGAAGAAATCTCAACCTTAATAGATAACCTGAGAATTCTACTTACTGAACTAACGATAATGCTCAAACCTGAAACGATGACAACAGCTAAAAATAACTAAAAAACAACTGAACACTCCACATTAAATACCACAAAACAAACTCAAAAAGAGGAAACCAAAAGCCTTAGTAGAAGCCAAACAGACCTGCAAAACCAAGACAAAGAATCTACAACAAACAACCTGAAAACTCAAAACAGATTTTTAATTCTCAACAAAATAGAAAAAGAACAATCAGAAAACATGACCAGAACTAAACTCTCGAAAAGAACACACCATGGAAAAAATGCGACTCAAAAAGATACACAAATTCATAAGAAAAGCCAGCCAAGTCAACGATCAACTTCCAAGAACAGATCAAAAAGCCAAACAAAATCCTTCCTGGAAAAAAAAAAGAAACAAAACAAAAACCCTAGAAACATGACAACTGAGAATACCCCACCATCCCTAGAAGAGATATCATTTAAAAAAAAAAAAAAAAAAAAAAAGAATGAACTCAAGATCACACAAAATTCTACAATGGAAATGCAGAGGAGTGAAGGCAAATATAAATGAACTGCTGTTACTAATTACAGACCTAAACTAAGCTATAATATGTCTTCAGGAAACCTTCTTAAAGAATAACAATAAGATAAATATAAAAGACTACCAACAATATAATTATATTAAAAGCTCTAGTCTTCGAGCATCATGGGGTACATCTATTCTAATCAGAAATGACATACCACAAAGTCTTGTCTTGAAAACAAATTTACAGGTAGCAGCTGTAAAAGTGACTTTAGACCGACAAATTAGCATTTGTTCGGTGTATATCCCACCAGACGAGGAGATGAACAAGACAGAATTACTGGAAATTACAAACCAACTTTCCACCCCTTTATTGGGGATTTCAACTGTCATAGTACCATGTAGGGATGTAAAAATACAAACAAAAAAGGGAAAAACATGGAATCATTTATAGAAAACAACAACTTCTGCATATTCAATGACAAATCTTTGACTTACATCTGCTCCTTTTCAGGCAACCCATCCACAATAGATCTATCCCTATGCGACCCATCTATATTTCTGGATTTCTCCTGGAACGTACTGCCAGACACATATGGCAGTGACCAATCTGTCTACAAAATTCAGAACAAACTGACAAAAAATCCCAACGGTGAAATCTGAATAAAGCAAATTGGGAAGAATATCAAACTATCATCTGAAAAACTAAAAGAAGGATCAGACATAACTAACATAACTCAATTTACAGAAACACTGATTTCCATTGCAAAATGCATCCCAAAAAGCAAAATCAAAAATAACCGAAATAGACCCTGGTTTAACGATGAGTGTAAAACATCTATCAGACTTAGAAGAAAGGCTTTAAAAGACTCTTTAAAAAAAAGAGCCTACAATTGAAAACATGCTAAAATTCAAACTACAGGCAAAAACTTGAAAAATAAAAGACAGCAAACATGGAAGCTGGAAAAATCATGTCGACAAACTGAACTCTGCGACAAAAACAAAAACTGTATGGAACATGGTTAGGAAGATAGCCAGCAAATACCACTCTAATGCAATAAAACACCTCACCAAATATAACAACCAAAATAACCCAGGAAAAAGACATTGCTGACAAATTCGCAACTACTTTCTCAAAAACTCATCAGCCACAAATGAAAACCAAAAATTCATCAAGGTTAAACAAAATGCTGAAAAGCAAAGACTAAATTTCAAATCCAACACCGATGAAAGCTACAACCTTCCTTTTTCAATATAGGAATTAAAGGAATCTTTAAAAAAAGCTAGTGATACAGCAGTAGGACCAGACAACGTCCATTACCAGTTCATAAAAAAGCTACCAAAAAATCACTTCAACTACTGCTAAATCTGCTATGGACAAAAAACTACTTTCCAGAGCTGTTGAGACAATCTATCTTTATTCCCATTGCAAAACCTAGCAAAGACGATTCAGAACCAGGAAACTACAGGCCAATAGGGCTAACGAGCTGCCTCGGCAAAACAATGGAAAGGATGGTTAATAACAGACTAACTTGGTATCTAGAAAAAAGCAACTTAATCAGCGATTATCAATGTGCTTTCTGAAAAAAGAGAAGTACCATAGACCATTTGGTTTGGCAAGAAACCTTTGTCAGAAGCTTTTATCCAAAAAGAACATTTAATAGCAGTGTTCTTTGATCTAGAAAAAGCATGATACCACATAGAAGTATGGCATCCTAAAAGATTTATATGATCTAGGCCTAAGAGGCAGACTAACGGAATACATCAGCAATTTCTTATGAAATCGAAAATTTCAGGTACAAATAGGCAACATACTTTCAGATGCACAAGGACAAAAGGAAGGAGACCCTCAGGGAAGCATTCTTTCAGTGACCCTTTTTTGCATCAAGATAAACTCCTTAACAAAAAAAATCCAGGAGTCAAATATTCCTTCTATGTTGATGACTTTCTTATTATATATATAAATCGCTACGCTGGTTTTATATATGGGGCTATCAGAAAATCTTACTCAAAAATGCTTACCATACCACCAGGTACTAGGGGCCTTTAGAACATCCCCAGTAGAAAGTTTATACATAGAAGCAGGTGAAACCCCTCCACACCTATGACACATAAAATTAGCCTTACAATACTACACCAAAATAAAATCACTCCCAACAAATATAGCCAAAGAAATAACCCCTAGACCTAAATTACTATAAACAATATCAGAAAACAGGAAATACCATACTACCTTTTGGCCTTAGAATAAAACCCTTTGCAGAAGAACTAAACACTGCTATATCAAATATCCAAGAAACTAAAACTGCCATCATCCCACCATCGACAATCAAACAACCTAAAATAATCCTTGAATTATACAATCCTCCAAAAAAAAAAAAATAACTCACCCCACCACCTTTAAGGATAATTACCAACAATTAATGGAAAAATTTCCTAGCTACTGTAAAATATACACAGATGGATCAAAAAGTGGAAATAAAGTAGGATGTGCAGCAATAAACAAACAAATCACTAAAAAGAAACGCCTCCCAATAGGAAGCTCAATCTTCACTGCAGAGGCACATGCAATCAGCCTTGCTTTAGATGTAATCTCAGGAAGCACCCCAAAAAATTTCATAATTCTCTCCAATTCACTCTCTGTACTAACATCCCTGAAAGGGAAAAAAACTCGATAACCCACAAATTAATAACATCCTCCACAAACTATTTTATATGGAAGAAAAGAACATCATTCTCTTCTGGATCCTGAGCCACATTGGAATCAAAGGAGGAGACAAAGTGGACACAGCAGCCAAATCCTCACTAAAAATGAACATAGACAAAAAAATAAAAATATCATACACAGATTTGAAACCTGAAATAAACAAACTCATCAAGGAGAAATGGTATAAAATATGGGAAAACCAAACCAAAAATAAACTCCATCAAATAAAACCTACAATAGAACAATGGAAAAGGTACTCATGATACCCAAAGAAAACAAGTTCTTATGACCAGACTATGCATGGGACATTCACACTTGACTCACTCTTACATCCTGAAGAGGATGGACCCTCCAAAATGCTCCTGCGGAAGCAGACTCACAGTGGATCACTTCATGTTGAATTGCAGAACCATCTCCAAAATAAGACGAAAATATTATAACCATAAGAGCCTCAAAAGAGTCTTTGAAGAGACAGACACCAACAAGATATACAGTTTCCTTTCAGAAATTGACATCCATAACAAAATTTAAAAAAAGATTTTTTTTCCTTTTTATAACTTAACCCAATGCCATGATTAAGCTCTGCTAAAGTACTTGCAAGAACCTCTAAGGTTGGAATATCAGAATGTCTATCTATATGTTGAAGTGTGATTATCAAGCTATCTATCTGATTGTGAAGGTGTAAATCTCAACATATATATCTTTATATCGAAGTATGAATGACAAGCTAGCTATCTATCTATCTAGTTATCAAATCCTGGATATCTATTATTGGCATTAAATAACCCAATGAGGTTGATATGCTGTAAAACACAAACAAAGAAACAAAACAAATACTACTGGCTGTTATACAAAAAGCAGAATTAGATTGGTTTGGGTGAGACACACTGCAAGATAAAATCATGTCTTAAAGTCAGGTGATTTTAATTTTTCACTTGCACTCCTTTGGTAAATAGTAAATGATTAGTAATTTTTTAGAATAGTTGTCATTTAAAATTTTGAACTCTGTTTTCAAGCTGAGTTGACAATTTCTAGATCACAAACATAAAAGCAATTTTCATTGTTTCATTTTCAAAAACAAAATTTGTAATTTCAATTTTAAGTACATGATAAAATCAAAAAAATCTGAAGATAAAAAAAACAAACCTTTTTATGCTTAATATTGTATCCCAAAATAAAATTTTAAAATTTTATTTTCAATATATTTAAAATCCTTTAATACATGGAGCTTGACAAAACACAAAAAAATGGTACCAAATTTATCTATGTAGCTCAATTAGTGAATAGGATATGATCGTTCAAATGAGATGACAAATTCCAACAGTGTATAACTGAAGATACAGGCAACAAACAAGTGAAAAATCATAATCATATAGTTTTTCTTGAAGTAAAAGAAATATAATACTAATGGAATCAATAATTATTAAATTTGAACCAGCCTACACATTGGGGAAAAATGAAATAGTTAAAAACGAAAAGAGATGGACACAGTTGTTTGTTCATATAAGTTTAATTTTAACATTTAATGCCTTGAAAATTCTTACTATGATTCATACCACAACAGAGATGAAGCTAATTTTTTTTCAGTAGTGCATCAATAAAAAACTTCATATTTACAAGTAAAAACAAATAGAAGCACAATTTAAGAGTAGGGCAAAAACTGGCAAAATGTATGGAATCCTGAACTTGCCATAAAAAAATGTATCCATTTGAGGTATATGCCTGAAACTTTGAAACTTTACTAATTTTGGGATGAAGAATTCAACAAAAGTGATTTTCTGTGTAATAGCCATACATTTTGTCATAAATGTACCTTAGCTTGGAAAATATTATGAAATTATGCAATTTTTGACTTGCACTAGTTACTACAAAACTTAGAAATGTTTCAAGAAAGGAATTGTTGGTTAATCTTTCAAGCTAATGATTATTGTAATACTTTAAGTTCATTTGTTTTCAAACTAAACAAAATGAAATGGTTAAAAATACATTTAATGGAATTGATGAAAGAAAAACACTTTCTGTCAGTTGGAATGATCCTCCTGCATTTCCTCTCCTAATGTTGATTTATAGCCTGGATTTATTTATAAGCCTCTGCTAGAGCCAATATTCTTAGGATCCTGCATATACTATTATCTCTTGAAAGTGGTATTATATCAAAATCCCATCTTAAGAAAAATTTTAACTTGCAATATCATTCATCAAAATCAAAAATAATAATTTCTGCTTTTGGTTGGAGCTAAAAACTTGGTTACAGCAATGGATGGAGATGTAATATCAATGTAAAAGTTGGAGTAATAGTATACTGCAATCCTTAATGCTCATTTCTTAATGTCATTTGGGGGTGATTCTTCTTTGTCACATTGTTTGAATATTCAGATTTTTCTTCCTTTAAGAGTGGAGATGAAGTTCCATTAAAAGTTATATCACTGTAATATCTATTCCCTTCATCCAGCAACCTTTTCATACATTACAAGGAATTTGGTGTCTTCTTCAGACTGCTTCTCCTGCTTATAAAAAAAAATGCATGAACCTCATTATCCACTGAACAGTAGGGTAGGTGTCTCTGGCATGGAAAGCACTAATACATAAAAAAATAAATGAACAAATACTCACTTAAACCAAAGACTTTATGCTTATTATCTTCCATAACAGTTTAAAAAAAAGTGTTTTTGAAAGTTCAACTATAAAATATATCCACTTATTTTATTTTATAATATGAATTTAGTTTAATGTTTTTAAGAAAATGCATAAAATGAAAGCTGAGACAAAAGTTGTTTGAGTGTGACAGTTTGGAAAAATACAGTTAGTATTTTATAATACTGTTTTAAAATGAATCATTACAAAAATATAAGAAAAAGATTTAAACTGTGAAATAATCAATGAAATTAGTCTGATTTATAATGGAGTTCAGTTGGCGATGTTCATTCACTTGGTCAGCAATACAAATTTCGATGTGTCAGACGAAACAGTTTTGCACAAAATAAATGAAGTATAACCTCTTTTTGATTTACTTATGCCTTGAGTTGTATGAGTGCAGAGATATGAAACTGACAGATTAATAAACATGATGCATTGCTTTACAAGAAGGTTTAAAGAGTTGAAGTTCTCTGGTATTTCATCCATTAAATTTTTCGACTTTTGTGAAACAACGTTAAACCTTAAGGCCTCCAAATTGATGAACGTTCTTTTTTTCTTTAATATGGAACTACTATCAATATGTTGGAAAACCTAACTTGGAGCACAACTAATTTTAAAAACATCACTGAAATTGTCAGCTTTGAAAAGGTATAAAAACATGCAACTATTTTTTAAATAGTAAGATAGTTCAAAGAGATGCGAATTAAAAAATAATCATCACAAATCGGAAAGAATTTTATTTTTATAAAGAGAAAAGATTAAATTTTGTTTACATTCTAATTTTATCAAAATAACCACAAAAATAAATGAGATACCAGTAATTAAAGAAAATTTCACTATTTTGACACATATTTGCAGTGTAAATTAGGGAGGTTTGGGGTCCCTCTTAATATTCAGGCAATAAAATATTATGCATCTGATCTTAATTTTCAAAATAATTGAAATTTGTAAATTTTATGGCTAATATTTATTTTCTTTAGGAGATCATTTCTTAAAGTTGGATAAAAAAGATGGAACACATAAACCGAGTAATCTTGAGATGGCTGCTCTTCCTGTTGAGGCTGCTGCAGTTTCTTCTGCTTCAGCTAGTTTAACTACCATGAGCTTACCCAATCAACAAGCATCAGCTTACATGGAAAATGAGCACAGGATCCAAGATCTTCTAACAGACCCTGAAATACGTGAAGCATTGGTTGATAAAAAAGTACAGGAATTGATTGCCATGCAAAACCGAAATCCTGAAAGAGCTCAAAGGTAGATTTATGTTTTTATATATATTGCAATGTTACTAATGTTTTTAATATTTAAATATTGTTACATTGCATAATGATTTGATTCATATCCTTTCAGCTCAATGGGTCATTAAGTTTTAAACAAACAAACAAACATATCCTTTCAGCATTTTTAGACAAATTTAAAGTTAATAGTAAAAGTTGTTGAAACATTGATACTGTCATTGTCTTCATTTCTTATGCTCTTGTTTTAAAAACAAAACCTGTAGACACCATGTTTATTCCTTGGGTTTCTTCTCAGTGTCTTCATGATTGGTTTATCAGTTGAAATGTTAGAAACAATAAGATTTGTATGTGTGAAGAAGTGTTGAAAATCTTTTCTCTTTAAAATGTCTCCAGATATCTTTGCATTTTTGCGAAAGTAATTTAAATTCCTCTATTGCTACTAATGAATTCTGTTTCAGGCTATCTTTCTCTTTACTGAAAAGATTCTAGGTTACATATATATGGCCTTAATGTTGATATATAAGAAAATCTTCCAATGGCAAGGGAAATGTCCCTTAAGTTCCCAAATGATTTTTTCATGTGCTTTGGACTTTTGTTATTGCAGTGTGTTAGTTATTATACAAATAGAATTTCTGACAGTATAGAAATAGTTTTCTCTCTACATTCGTCTGCGAACATTTTTGTGTTTGGCGATTTTAATGCTCTTGTCAAGTGGCTTAATCATTTTAAAGTTACTGATGATAATGGTATTCAAACTTTGAATTTTTCTGTTTTTCTGTCTCTTACTCAAATAATGGAGTTCCCTTTTCATTTCCCCTAATAAATCTGATCAACATATTTCTTACCTCCTCTTCTCAAGCATTGCAACTCTGTCCTCTTGGCAATTTGGATCACACTGTAGTATCTCTTGATATTTCTTTTTGTATCATCTATTAGAACTTCCTATTCACAAGACTTCTTTCTGTCACCAATATACTGATCAGAATTCATTTCATGACTTTATTGGAGACACCCTTTGTTTTTAAACTTCTTATTGAAAATTGTGCCACAGAGATTTTTTTCTTGATCAACCCTTTGTACCACCTTAGAAATACCAGGTGAAACCTGTTTAGCTGCTATAACGCACAGGAATCACTTTTTCTGGCTATACCAACATGACAGTTCCTATCACAACAGACTCCTATTTGTCTCTGTACGTAATAATTCTAAATGTGTCTTTGAAGGGCAAACTCTAACAATTTTGGCTCTCATGACTACTAGCAGCTCTGTAATAGTGTCTTAAATAGGAGTAAGTCTTCTATCCTACCTATCTTCATTCAGTTTACGGTGTTAACATCTGATAAAGCAGAATGTTTTGCTTGCAAATTCTCTTCAAATTCTACCCTTGACTCATCTGGAATATTTTTTGCTTTACAGCTGTCTCTGTTGAGTGATATACATATAACTCCTTCCATGGTTTTTGCTATCATCTCTAAACTGGATCCCCACAAAGCATGTGGATCTGATGGCATCCTTGCAATAGTCCTTAAGAAATGTACCCTGGAACTGGCTCCCGTTCCCTCTAAACTATACAACAAATGCCTGCTTGTTTCTTGATATCCTGCCTGTTGGAAATCCTCTTCTTTAGTTCCATTCTTAAGTAAACCATTTGATCCTTCTATTGGCCTATTAACCTTCTACTACCTTTTGACAAAGTACTTGAGGCCCTAATTAACTCTGAATTGGTCAAGCATCTCAAGCTCTTCTTTCAGATGAGCAGTATGCCTTTTGCTTATCGATGTCAACTGATGTATTAATGATTATTGCGGAAAGAATCTATCAAACTTTAGATAAGAAGGGTGAATCTTGGGCTGTTGCTTTGGACATCTCAACAGCATTTGACAGGCATACTGGTCTTCTTCACAAGTTGAAAGGTTATGGTATTTCTGGATTAATTTTTGAACTGATTCAGTCTTTCTTATCAAATTGTGAAATGAAATTTGACCTTAATGGCAACTCTTTTAGATCTTTTTGCATTAATGCAGGTGTCCCCCCCCCCCAGGGTTTATACTTGGACTTACGTTATTCTTAATTTTCATCAATGTTCTTCCTGATGTCATCAGTTCTCAACTCTGTATCTATGCTGATGACAACTATTTACTCCTGTCTTAATAGTAAGTCTGATCAGTTCAGTAAGGTCAAATTGGCAGCTGGTCTCAAAAATAACTTACAATCTGCCATTAACTGGGACAAGGAGTGGCTTGTTAATTTTAATACCTCCAAAACAAACCTGCTTTCTATTAAACATTTGAGAGACCCCTTTCTGCCTTCCATCAGCATGGCTGATACTAATCTCCAGGAGAGTGACTTGGACCTTCTCTGGTTACCATTATCTGCAGGAAGTGAAAAAGGTCATATTAAATCAATTGCTTAGGTTTGCTGTTAGGAAAGTTGATTCACTGTGTTGTTGCTAGACAATTTTTATCTTCAGAATCCATCTTACATATAAGTTTACTATTCATCCATGCTTAGAATATTGCTGCCACATATGGTCTGGTGCTCTTGCTATATATTTAGATTCTAGATAAAACTCAAAGAATCTGCAATGTTATTGGTCCTGACCTGGCATCTCAGCTTCAGTCACTTTCTCACCACTGTAAAGTTGCTTCCCTGTGCCTTTTACCATGAAAGTATTTATAGAATTGTTCTGATGAACTTTCCTCTATGTTGCCTATACTTTGTGTTTAAGCACATTACTAGATTGGCAACAAGATCTCATTTTACAATTGAATTGGCTCAATGTAACTGTAAGTTTTATGCTAACAATTTTTCTCACACTTCCTGCTAGTGGAACCCTCTTCCAGCATCTTGCTTTCCAGCCAACTTTGATCTTCAAAAATTTAACTGCAGTGTCAATCATTATCTACTCTTTTCTTGATTCTGCTTCTTTTATTGTTCGTGCTCTTTAATGTTATTTATTTTTTTTGTTCTTGTTTCTAAGTGGCTTTTTTACCTTGCTTGGGATGGAATGAAGAGATAAGAAATATAGTAAGATGGCTATTCAAGCTTACACACACAAGCACATACACACACTATTTTATGTAGCTTTTTTAATGTTAGGAACCTGGTAACAAGTTGTATTTCAGTTTTGTATGTTTTTATTTTTAATTCAATTTTTTTTTTTTTTATTATTGAACTGAATATTGTTTTACCTGTTTTTTACATTATTTTTATTTTTTTCAGCATGCTACACCAAGGAGATTCTGAACTTCGGAAAAAAGTGAAGAAATTAGTTGAGGCTGGATTGTTATCGTTTAACACTTGAATGTTAGTTGTTACAAAAAGAATGAAATTTAATAGTCTGCAGTCTAGTCTGAGTTCTGTAAAGCACATGGGAAACATATCACAGCTCCATACATTAATTGCTTGCTCTTTATTAATAGTAATCTTTTTAGCACCTTTTTTTTCTATTAATATTTTACATATTTATATTTCAGTAAATCTTTAGTTGAGTAAGGAATAAGTTTGATACTGATCCAAATAAGTATGTCAGAAATAAAAAAAAATGTAGAAGCATAGATTGAGGATATTTATTTAATAACAATATTTTAACTAATAATTTTTACTAAGAAGATAATTTTTTTTTCTTTTACTGTTTTTTTTCGGTAATATAACTAACCCTAATTTTGATGAAATTGTTTTCCATATTTTTGTGGATGGAAATTTAGCCTAAAAGATGCAAATTATTGCTATAAATTTCACATTGAAATTAATCTCAAGAAAGGATTTAAAGTTTAAAAAAAATATAAGATTTCTCACAAAGAAAATAGTTTTTAACAATTCTATCAATATAGTTTTGTCCTCAAATATTTTTTAAAATGTACTCTTGTTAAAATATTTTATATTAAATAAGTAATTAGAAGTTTTGAATAACTTTGGTATGATACTGTGTCAATTTTGTTTCACTGAATATTATCATAAATAAATTATTTTTTTATGTAATATTAAAAAAAAAATTCAATTCTTCTGTGCAAATATCTCTCATATTTGAACATTTAAAAAATCTGTACTGTCAGTAGTTGTTGTTGTTGTTATAATAGTAATAAAATAGAACTCTTATGTAATTTTAATTCTGCACTTTATTTCATGATTTTGGAACTATTACACATTTTTTTCCTTTTTTAGAATTTTTAGATGAATCCAAACATCCAGTTATATAAAAATGCATTTTTTCCTCCTAGAATAAAATAGTGCTAGTCCTAAATACAGGGTATGGGAATAATATGCAAATATCTATGGTTGTGGGCAATTTTAATTTTATAATATTGTGCCTTGATTTGCTGAAGCAGAAATTATAAATTGATTAATTTACTCTAAAGAAGACATACCAACTAAACTGATATTTATTTTTTTCATTAATGTTCTTTACAATATTGGAGAACACACATTCCAAGAAACTTAATTTTTTTTTTTTAATTTTAGAAAATTGTTGTATTTATTAACTTTGCTTTAAAGCTGCATGCTTGTAAAATTATATTGCAAATATTTTCTTGGCGCTTTTTGTATTGTCCTTAAATATACAGCAACATTATATTAAAAAAAAAATTAAAGCTAGCAAAACATTTGAATTTATATAACATTTGAATGTATTTTACAGTTATTAATTTTTTATACATATTATTTTATTTGATTCACAGAAATATCCAAATTTATCTAGCAAGTTATTTGATATTGATAGTTAAATTCAGCATATTTAACCTTTTTAATTAATAGAAACACAATGTAAAATTATTTAAAAGTTTAGAATATTTTTTTATTTTTTATTTTACAAAACAGTATCATCATAAACATTTAAGAAATGATGTATAATGATGAAAAAAGTACAATTTTGGAGTATATATTTTTTTTTCCATAAAATATTTCTGGGACAACCATGGAATGTAGCCATAACAGTACCTCCAAACAAATTCATGAATCAAAATCAGTTAAACACTAAAAACATTTATAAATCATGTTAATAAATTTGTTTAATTTTTTTAAAAATTTTGCTGTTTGTATATAAATATATAATAATTTCATTTTTAATTTGTAAATAATACATTTGACAAAATTTACCTTAAATCCTAAGTATATTTCTTTTTATATATGAAACTTATCAAATTATTGTGAAAGGTGATTTTCAAATTAGTTATACCACTTTAGCAGAATCTTGATATTATGTACATTTCCATTAGTTAGCAAACATTTGAATTTGTATCTTTGTTTGCAATGTATTAAATTCTTAAAAGGATCATTTCAGTTAGAAGAATTTGTAAAGCCTCTCAGAAACCATAGTAACAAATAAATTCACTATTATATAGTTATCTGATAAAGACTATGTATAATAAGAAATCATTGTATGCTATTGAAATTTATGAATAAGCAACATAATCGCATAGTCTATTTAGGTACTGAGGTTAAATGGTCACTGTTTGATAAAATCCAGTATTGCAAATACTGATTTTTTTTTCATTTGTAAGGTTGGTGTAGATTCCACCCAATAGGCTCTTTTTGTCAAGCTAATTAGAATTCTTCTGAATAATTTTGTAAATTCTCTGATTTTTTTTCTCTCATAGATATATATATATATAAGAAATTTTCAAAGGAATAAGTGATGTTATTTTTAGTGGGTGTCCATGTTTGAATAAAACACCCATTTCTTTAAACTGTGCATTTGGGAAAACTTAATCTGAATGAAGTAATGTGCATTCTTTAAAAGTATAAATAGAACCTTGCTTGGCTATGATGCTTTCTCTGGCTGATCAGTCTAAAGCACATTGGATCAAATGGTGATTTCTTCTAGAAAGGGAGATGCATGTACAAAATGTGCAGGCTGGTAGATGTAATAAACAGTTGAAAAAAACTGGGTGTTCTACTCAAACTTGAGTATCCACTAAAAATAACATTTGAAATAATTATATATGAAAATATTTTAACAAAAGACCTTAAAATTGAAGTGTCTTAAGTGTTCTAGATTATACAGGGAATCATCTTATCTCTTACTTCTATTCAGTTAGTCCTTTTTTTTATAAAACACACTCTTCAAGAGCGTATTGTTTTTAATCACTTCTTTTCTGTTTTATCATTTGTAAGTGCGGTTCTTTGAACACTACATAAAGACTTGAATTTTTCTGTTTAAATGTTAAACAAACTGCAAACTGTTCTAAAAAGATCACAATAAAAGCCTTTTTTTTTGAGTAATTGAATAAGAAGTGAACTATATATTTATTTTGCATTATGGGACAGAAACCTGGGATTTTAAGGTTGCTGTTTAGTATTATGGATATTTTTTTGCATTGAAAATATTTCAATTTTATTTTATATTAGAATTGATTTGTAAAATTTGATTTTATTTTTATTATTCTTTTTTGGATATTATGTTTGTTATAAACTGATTTCTTTACATGTAATTTATTTTGATAACCATTCTTCAGTGTGCTGCATTTACTTTATATAAGGCTTATATTAAATAGTATATGTAGTTGTATATGTGTATGTATCTTGCTTATTTAATATCATTGCTTATAACATTCTTAATGCAGCTGATGATATTACTGCATGTTTTATTTCTTGATATTAACTGGAGAAGGCTTATAATTAAAAGTTAGTTTCTGTTTATTGCAAATTGAAATAATTTATTTGTTGCTACAAAATTAGGGAAACATTTGCAATAGTGCAAATGCATAACATATCTTTAAGAAAAATGTTTTTGTAACATTTGTTTGACTTTGAGTTCCTGCATCATTTATTTTAAAGATTTTTTTTTTTCATTATTAACAGAAAATGGACTTTTCTGAAATTATTAAAGGCACCAAGCTTCCATCACTATATTGTTCTGCAGGGCACATAGTCTTGTGGATTAGTGTTGATTAAAAAAATCTAGTTACCTGTCTGTTGCGAGTTCAATTCCTAGGTCAAGTAGTACAAAAAGTCATATACTCTGATTCAGTAGAAGAGATAAGCAATATTTAACAAGGCTGAATTGAAAGAATTAACTGATTTATTTCTTCTAGCATGGGCAGTGAGATGAGAACAATCTCCCCCTGTAGATTGAATAAAGGATTTGGTTTGAAATTCCCATAAGGTTACAAAATATGACATCTACCTAAAGAGGCTGGATATTGCATCGGCCAAAACACAATGCTTTTTTTATATGTTTAATAAAACTTAGCAAATCATTTTAAGTGTATACAACATTTTCTCATATTTATCTCGGTATTTTTAGTACTTTTAGAAATTATTTACTGAAATATTTTAAAAATTTCCTTTCAGAAAAATAATCCATAAAGAATGTAAATATATTCAGTCAATATATCTCTACACCTTTGATGAAAAGTTGGTTTTATTGTCATAATCTTTGTTTTGTTAAGGAAAAAATTTGCTATCAGAATTGTGTCCACTATATATATATCCAGAGATATGTGTGTTTGAAAAGTTTAGTTTGCATAAAACAATGTAATATAATAATTTGCATGAGAAAACTTATGCCTAAAATACCCAGATTTTAAAAATCTATGACTTAACTTGATTTCAATAAAATTGTTAGTCTGTATTTATGAAAAGGGTATTTTTTTAAGTCAATCAAACCCCCTTTTAATTTTAATACCTTTTGGACATCTATTTGTTACACAGTGAAATCAGTCAAAATTTTGTTTGAAAATGCCTCAAATATGAAAATAAAATTTTCTTTTTCAAATTTTCGTTATGATTTTTCTTGGAAATTTCTGAAATAATTAAATAAACCTGTTCAAGAAATGTAAAATTCATAAAATATAGTGAATTGGAGATTTTATAATGGAAAATTGTAAACTATTTTTCCTCTGGCAGAAATTATGCAATTGCTGTATGTAGAAAATGACTAAGAAAATAAAATTATTTTGATTACCTTTGGCATACAAACTTCCACTAACAAGAAAGTTTTTTTTTACTTTTTATCATCCACATTTTAACTGTTCTACAAGATGCTCCTAAATCTACCCTACTTTTATCAATCTAAGTAATTTTTGAATGGTATAGCAAAAAGGACTCTTGTTTTACGTGAAGAAAGGCTTTTTTATGACTCTTATGCTATATTCTTGTTATTAAAACAAAATTTAAACATCAAAAATGTTAATTATTGCAATGTTTGTATATATTTGCTGTGTATCTTGTATATTCTGCAATATGTTAAATATCATTTGCATTAAAAATCTTAGCAGCAGCAAATTGATGTAGTTAATGAAATATTTTTTTTAATGCATGGCTTCTTACAAAATATATTGTGTTCCTAATGAAATAATGAAAACC